GTGTTCCATGATTCATTGCTTGTGCATAACACCCAGTGCTCCATGCAGAACGTGCCCTCTTTAATACCCATCACCAGGCTAACCCATCCTCCCACCCTCCTCCCCTCTAGAACCCTCAGTTTGTTTTTCAGAGTCCATCGTCTCTCATGGTTCGTCTCCCCCTTCGATTTCCCCCCCTTCATTCTTCCCCTCCTGCTATCTTCTTTTTTTTTTCCTTAACATATGTTGCTTTATTTATTTATTTATTTATTTATTTTTGGTGCTGTGGTAGAGTATTTATGTGGAACAATGTACTTCTAACTCAATTATTTGGAAAGGGAGAAGCCCCCACCCCAACACAAACACATATCACCACCACCACCATTGCTACCCAAGGCACAGAGAAACAGAGAAATAGCTCCATGTTTTCCAGTGAAAATTCACAAAGAATTTGCATTTCATACAATTTTATGTGATTCTTATTAATATCCTCGTGAGGGAGAATGGAGTTCCCAATACATGTGGACACATGCACTATGGCACACTGAATTTTGGACTAACAGTAACTACCTTCATATATTGAGTACCTATAGTATGTGCTAAAGAATTTGCTAGGTTTCAAATATATCTTATTTAAAACCTAACTAAAATCTATGAAGTTAATCCTCTCTTTATATATGGGGAAATGGAGTGTTGGGAATTTAAATAATTTGCTCACATTCCCATAGCAAGAATATCAGAAAGATAAATTTTTTTAAAGACTTTATTTATTTATTTGAGAGGGAGAGCAGTGGGGAGAGGCAGAATGAGAGAGACAGAGTGTCAAGCAGACCCCGAGCTAAGTGTGGAGCTGGACTCAGGGCTTGATTTCATGACCCCGAGATCATGACCTGAATTGAAACCAAGAGTCAGATGCTTTACCGACTGAGTCACCCAGATGCCCCAGAAAGATAAATTTAAACGTAGGTTTATCTGACAATGAAGCCTGTATTTTGAAGTGTGTTATGTATTGCCCACTTTTTATGTCTCTTCATGATTCACGATTGCCTTGAAACTACTGTGAACAAATAAAACCAACAAAAGCGCAAAATCATTTGAGACAAAAGGGTGTGTTAGTTCACTTTATGTGTCAACTTGACTAGATCAGAGAATGCCTAGGTATTTGATTATCATTAAAAATTATTTCTGGGTGTTTCTGTGAGGGTGTTTACAGATGAGATGAGCCTTTGAATCAGAGGACTTGGTAAAGCACATTGCCCTCCCCAGTGTGGGTGGGTATTATCCAATCCAGTGAGGGCCTGAATAGCCTAAAAGGTAGAGGAATGGAGAATTCATTCCTTTTTTCTTCCTGCCTGCCTTCTTGAGCTGGGACATCAGTCTTTCACATGCAGACCTGGACTTAGACTGTCTGCTCCTCTAGTTCTCAGGCCTTTGGACTCAGCCTGGAACTATACCCTGGCTTTCCTGGATATCCAGATTGTAGGCAGCAAATCATGGGACTTGTCAGCCTCCATAATCGTGTGAGCCAACTCCTTAGTATGATAAATTTCATATATATGTATCCAATTGGTTCTGTTTCTCTGAAGAACCCTCACTAATACAGAGTGAGAATTTGCAAGAAAGGAAATAGAGAAATACAGATTTTAAGTTGCCTTATAGTCAGGATTCTTTTTTTTTTTTTTGGTCAGGATTCTTTTTGAACATCTCAAATCAATGGACAGAATTATGAAAAATATTTCAAGTATGTTTATGGACACTTTTGGAGAGAGATGGTCGATAGCTTTTATTATATTCTCTAAGTAGTTCATGATAGCTATCTATCTCTTTCATAGTAAGGTTGTTTATTTACCAAATAGCAACAAACCCACTCATCTTATTTAAATTACTAGTAATTGGGTCAGGATTAGATTGTTTCTAAGAGAATGTTCCCTGGTCAGTTAGACAGGCATTCAAAATCACGATCCTCTTTTACAAGTTGAACAACTTTGGGTAGGTGTCCAATTTTCCGATGATCATTTTTCTAATCTATAAGATGGGAATAACAACAGTGCATGCCCCATAGAGTTGTTGTAGTTTTAAAATGAGAAAATACAGGCAACACTCACTACAGGGCCTGTCATACCATAAATTTAGCCTATTTTTTTTTTTTGAGTATTACTATAATTGCTATTTGTTAAGCAAAAGAACCAAGAACCATAGAAATAATCAAAGAACCATCCAAAACCTGGTGAACCTAAGTAATTCAATTTTGATGAGAGTCAAAAACAAAAGAAACAAAAACCAGGGATTGGCTTGGATAACCTAACAATAATAACTGAATGAGCTAATAAGTAACAATTCAAAACTTTATTTGTATACTTTTGTTTCTATAAATGTACATATATTTCTATAAATTATAATATATCAATGTAATTATAAGTGGATATACATTTCTATAAATATATATGTTTGTTGCTCCACCTTTGTATCATCTATCTATCTATCATCTCTTTCTTTGAGCTCAACTGAGGAATCTCTTTGCCTCTTATTCATTGTCACTCCAACTTACTTCTGGGTTGGAATCCCAAACCAAAGTGCTGACTTTAAAAACGTGAAGGAAAATTACAGAACTCAGTGTTGATACTAGAGCATCATTTTCTGGCTCAAATTAAGAAATGAAGGAATGAATGATGTAAAAATGCACTCCCTTCTTGATGCTTGGTGTTTAGTGATCCCATTATTCTACCTCGCCCCACCTCAGCAGAAAGTTCATGATGCTTTCCATCCCAAGGTCATATACTAGCCCACTGCCTAACTTTCCTTAAGGAAGTTAAGTAATGTAGAGTCAGACTCTGAGGTAGTAATCAATGTGTTCTAGAATCTGTAAGCTCTAGGCTCTGTTATCATATGATTGGTTTTCTGAGTGGCAGGATCCATACTTAATAAAATGAGGTACTGTATAGCCCCTTTGAAGAAGCTCATAAAACAGTGGGTTTAATTTGTTTGGGAAAAAAGAGACTAAAATATGGTGCAGGTCCCTGATGGAAAATGTGGCTCTGTAATGCAGTGTTCCCACCAAATATCTTGGAAAATGGGCAATGTTAACATTGCTCTCTGGAGTAGCGCCAGAAAGAAACAGTGGATGTTCTCTTGTAAAAACCCTGAAAGCAGCAAGCAACCCATAAACAGTATGCAGACTGAGTCTGAAAATGGACCATTTTATGTTCCCTAATGGAAGGATAGCTTATTTGTTCATGGATTTATAGCAACAATGTGATGTCATCAAGTGATTTATGGCCAGAAGCATAGCAAGTGTCAATATACAGTGGTGGGTGGAAACATCCTATTCTCACCAAGACGCTGATCCCCACAGGAGGTAGTCTTTGCCTTAGGGTGGGGCTGATTTAGGAAAACCCAAATTATTAGTGTTACTGGAAATGGAATGAGGGAGGTGAAGAATTACTGGAGCCATCCATCTTAGGAAAGAATTTGGGGAATATAAAAAAAGTTATTTAGAACATAAAAATGATGATTGCAAACCAGATCATCTCTCTAATTCTTGACTCAGCCAATGACCAGTATTTGATCCTCTACAGAAAGGTGGGAATGTTAATTACAAAATCCAGCTGTACATGTAGTGAGTATTTATTTTTAATGAGAAAAAGATACTGACACTATGATGTGATAATAATGAAACATAACATTATTTAATTTTTAAAATTTATATACATTAAAATTTATTCTTTTGGTATGTAGTTCTACAAAAATTAACAAAAATTTAAAAATCATGTAATTGTCACCAAAAACAATAAATATGATGCCTCCATGATATTAAAAAATATTCCCTAATGCTACTCCTTTGTAGTCAGCCCTTCTCTACTCAACCCCTTGCAACTATTGATATCTTCTCTGTTTAGTTTTACTTTTCCCAAAAAACATTTAAATGCAATCATATAATATGTAGCTTTTTAACACTATGTAATGTATGCATTTGAGATTCATCCATGCCATTCCACTTGACAATAGTTCATTCTTTTTCACTACTGAGTAATATTCCATTATGTGGCTGTACCTCAGGTTGTTAATCCATTAATGTGTTGAAGGACATTTAGGTGGTTTCCAGTTTTTGGTGTTTCTGAGTAAAGCTGTTAAAACTATCCATGTACAGGTTTTTGAATTATCATAAATTTTCATTTCTCTTGATTAAATACTTAGAAGTGGGATTACTGTTTCCTATGGTAGGTATATGTTTAAGTTTATAAGAAACTGCCAAAATGTTTTGCCATATTATTTTGCACCCACACTAGCAATGCATAAGAATTCCAGTTACTCTCTATCCTCATTGCACTTGGCAATGTCAGGTGTTTGTGTTTGTTTTTGTTTCTTGCCATTGTAATAGTTATGTAGTCATAGCTCTTTGTGGCTTAATTTGACCTAATCCTTGAGATTTTCTATGTAGATGGTATGAGCTGTGAAAAGAGAGTTTTATTTCTTCCTTTTTAAATCTGTATTCTTATTTCTTTTTCTTGTGTTATTTCATTGGCCAGGATTTCCAGTATGGTGATGAATAGGAGTAGAAAGCAAGTACATCCTTATCTTGTATCCAGTTTTAAGGAGAAAGCATCCAGGTTTTCACAAGTGAGTATAATAGCTTATGTTCTTTGTCCCTGTGGATTCCCTTTTCCATGTTCAGGAAGTACTTTTCTATCCCTAAGTTGCTGAGAGTTTTTATGGGGCACCTGGGTGGCTCAGTCGTTAAGCGTCTGCCTTCGGCTCAGGTCATGATCCCGGGGTCCTGGGATTGAGCCCCACATCGGGCTCCCTGTTCGGCAGAAAGCCTGCTTCTCCCTCTCCCACTGTCCCTGCTTGTGTTTCCTCTCTTGATGTCTCTCTCTGTGAAATAAATAAAATCTTAAAAAAAAAAAAAAAAAAAAGATGATAGAGTTCAACATTATAAATGATTAGTTTGATTGCCTGTACAACACTTGATCTTAGCCAAAAAGCCAAGAAGTAGTTTAATTGCTTGTAGAACAAAACACAATTTCAAGAACAAATGGAATGTTTATACAAATTGACTATATACTATGTTATAAATACATGCATGTCAGTTTCATTCAGATCAATTTGTTAACTGAAAAGTCCATACAACAGGAGGAGAATGATAGATTTAAAAATAGATTTTAGAAACTAGAAGACAAGTTTTTAAGTAATTCATGGTTCAGATATGAAATTATATTGATTATAATAAATACATTAGAGAATGTTTAAGAAATTAACAAGTATTGGTTAAGATGCTGGCAAGGAATTCTCCCACTGCTGATTGGGATGTAAACTGGTAGAGCACTTTGTGGAATGAATAGGCAATATATAATAAAGGTGAAAATACACATACCCTCTAAACCAACAAAACCACATTTAGGTTCATATACACAGAAAGTTTCATTCACATGTAAGAGGACACACATAATTTTTAAGCACTGTTTCCAATAGCAAAAAATACAAAACAATGAAATTTAGTTTCACTCCTGCCATGAACACATAAATAATCATGTACTTATAAAATGGAAAAGCTTCAATTGTCAAAATTAATGAGTTACCTAGATCACATTTACTTTTTTAGATCTTGCAGGCCAAGGTGTAAGTTGAGGATATTATATAGGTACTTATATAGTATGAGAAAAGAAAACACACACACACCCATTTCCACAATTTTTTTGATGAAATTCAAAATATAGTAATAAACATTAAGTATTTTTTTTATTTTATTTTACTTTGTAATATAGATCTACTAATGAGAAAAATAGGGTTCCCTTTATGGGGCTAAAATTTCATCATCTAAAATTGAGGTTCAAAGTTAATGTTTCCTATCATCAAATTGATTGCAAATATTCATTTTAAAAATAAAAACTTTAAGTTTGAAGGCTGTACAAAAACCAGATTTTGGCCCCTGGGCCATCGTTTGCCAACCTCTGAACTAGATCGATGTATCAGCATAATAGGGAGCATAAACACATGTTGGTACCATTTATGCAAGCTATTTTTTAAAAAATCAAAACATCATTATTATTATTTACAGACATGAATAAGTAGTAGAAGTATAAAAAAGCATGAACAGGAAGGGTATATACCAACTGTAGGACAGGGTCAGAATGCAATATTTCAGGTTAAACTAATGAATCCAACATTTCAGTACTAGAATGCCTTTCTGGGCTCCAGATGTACATCCAAAAACTGCCTGCTGGATAGACCTACTGGGGTTGGCCACAGGAATTTAGAATTGGATGTATCCAAAAATAAATGAATCATTTCCCTCTCCCCCCAACTCTTCCATGACTTCCTGCCAAATTATTCTCTTCCTGACCCCAAAAGGTTTGTCTCAATAAATACCATCACCATCTCTCAGTCTTCTTCAATTTGTCCTTTTCTCCCCCAAATATTACTGTTACCTCTCCAATTCAGGTCCTTCTCATCATCGTTCTCTCTCTGTGTGTCTCTTCCATCTCTTTCTCTCCTCTCCTCTCTTGCTATTACTATAAAAGCCTCATGACTTTTCTCCATAAGAGAAAGCTTTTGAAACCCAAATGGAATGGATCCAGCCATTCCATTTCTTCAAATTCTCTGATGCTTCACCATTCTGGATAAGAAAAAATTAAAAGTCTTTAAAGACTTTCTGAATTGATTTTCTTGACGTTTAAATGTTAAATTCTTCACTTTTAAATCTTTTAATGCTTAACTTTAACCAGTAGCCCACCCTACCCATCTTACACGCACTTTCCACAATGATGGTCTCCAAACTCCTAGGATGACACTGATCGCTAGGAGGCAAAGGGAGGTTATTCAAGGAATAAGGAATGTGTTTTGTTTTGCAGACCCAGCATTTCCAGCCAAGGAGAAGCCCACCTAGGTGTCTCACCTGAGAGCCCCTTGCTAGGTGTGTCTCCCCTGAGAGCCCCTTACATGAGCCAGTTTGAGCCAGATTGGAGCTGAGGACCTATTCTGCAGCCCCCTGGAGGGGACCTGAAGTTACCTTTAGCTTATTGTAATACTAAGATCTCTGCCTGTGGGTGGAGTTTTCTGCCTTTTTTTTTTTTTTTGGAACTTACAAAAAAATGTATGCTTTCTGTACTAACCCAATGGGGAGACCCTGCTTTGAGAGCTGTCTCCCTGTCTCCTTACTTGTAACAAGTAATAAGAAGTTACTTGCTTTCAACACTTCCTTGGGTTGCTTTCAATTTGATGCACCCCAAGGGGTAAACCCCTTGAGTTTGGTTACAATACCCTTACCAATTTTAGGATTATTCCCCAATACGTTTTTATTTATTTCAGATACAAGCATGTTAATGTATTTGTTGACAAAAACAGTATTAAATACAATCGAAATAAATTTTTTAGGTATAAGAGTAATATAAATCTTTTAGTATTGACAGCATACATAAAAATCTTTTTGTTCTCACTAATACAGGAATACTAGCTACACTCCAGATAATGTATTTGATAAGAGCAAGGTGATGGTGTCTATTGCAAGTCTGACCCGTTCTATCTGTGCTCCTATGCCCTGTGTCATTCCTGCTAATAAGAAGGGGATCAGTGTTTCTATGGAAGGGCAGCTTCTTCAATTTCCATCCTCTTCTCTTCTAAATCAGAACATAGTTCCAGCAGTTGTTTCTGTTCTTTCTTTTTTTTAAAAAAAAAAAGATTTTTATTTATTTTAGAGAGAGGGAGCATGCGTGCGTGTGTCTATGAGAACTGGAGGGGAGGGGCAATGGGAGAGAGAGAGAAAGAATCCTTATGTGGACTCTGCTGAGCAGGGAGCCCCACGTGGGGCTAGATCCTAGGACCCTGAGATCATGACCTGAGCAGAAATCAAGGGTCTGACGCTTAATCAACTGAGCCACCCAGGCACCCTTGTTTCTGTTCTTCTGAACTGGTGTTTTCTTCCCCGTACTTCTGTTGCATTGTTTCAAACAGCATACAAACATTCTGTAATGTTTTCTATCTGAAAACCAAAACAAAAGCATCTCAGGACTCCAATAGCTCACTATCTCTGTTCTGGAAAAGATTTTGCCACCCCAAAACATGTCTCTTTGGCATAACTTTTACCTTGAGCTCATTATTTTTAAGAAAGAGCAGACACAGGAGAAGCTCTAAAAACCACATAGAAGTTACCCTTTTGTAAGGACATTTACATTTCTAAGGGAAATTACCATTTGTAAGAGTGTCTCTCTGTCTCTGTACCTGGAGGGAAGAATGACAAAATCTTTCTAGAAACTTATCAATGGAGAAGACAAAGAAATTAAGTCTACACAACATCCTCAATATTGTTTACTGTTCTTTACCTGATAACCTCCCATATTCCATCCTCCCTCCCCCCCCTCTTTCTTTTGTCTTTAGCTGAAGATGGTACTTAAGGTAGTGTCTCTGGCCACTTTTTGAAAATTACTCCGTGTTCCTGGGTATCTTCCATGTATACAAGAGATTTACATGCTATTAAACTTCTATTGGTTTTTCTCCTGTTAATCCATCTTTTATTACAAAAGGTCTCAGCCAAGAACCCAGAAGGGTAAAAGGAAACTTACTTTTCCTCCTCTATATCCCACTTTATAGCAAAGTTCTTCCAAAATGTTTCCAATACACTCCCTTTAGTGCCTCCTTCACCTCAAGCACTGCCCCACTGAAATAGCTCTTTCCAAGGTCACCAGTGACCTTCACAGATGTAAATCCACTGGCTAATTCTTAAATACTTGACCATTCCCCCCCACCTTGGGTGGTCATTCCCTCCTCCTTGACACACCATCTTCACCTGATCTTTGGGAAGCACTCTCTCTCTCTTCCTTCCAAGCTTACCTTCTGACCCTGTGTTTACTTTGCTATTTCATTCTGTTCTCTCAAGACTTCTGAATGACAGAGTATACCATCCATCATCCAGTCAGGCTTCATATGCACGTAGTTGATCTCATGCACCCTCATCGCTTTCCATCCAAATGCTGATGACTTATAAATTTCCATCTCAAGCCTGATCCTCTCTACTGGACTCCGGATAGTTCTAGAAACACTGACACCCCTACCTCTGTGTGTATGAGGCATCTCAGATTTAGCAGGTCCCAACCAAACTCCATATTCTTCCCCTTCATGGCTTCTCCCTCATTTGTCACCGTATCTGTAAATGACAGCTGTAACCTTCCCTTTGTTTGGTCTTAGAGCCACAGAGACAACTTCTTTTTTACTTCACAAACCATATCCTATTCATCAATAACTCTTTTTGACTCTACCTTCAAAACATCCTATTTCTGAAACCTGAACACTCCCCTCACCATCAATGCTGCCACTCTGGTCCTTGCCATCATCACCCCCTCCAAACACCCCCCTCCCCACATTATTTTACTGAAGTACCCTTCTAGGGATTGTCCCTATTGTCCCCACAGAGTCTATTGGTCACACAGTACTTAGAGTCATCTACTGTTACAGGGTAAATCAGACTATGCCTTTCCTTTGCTCAAAATACTCCTTGCAGATCCTTGAACATACCAAGAACATCCCTTGCCCTGCCCTTACTTTGGGGTGCTCTTCCCCATAGTGTCTCCACAGGTAGCTCCTTCATTTCCTTCGT